GGGCAAACCCCACACCAAAAATAGTGCCGACAAAAGCCTTGAGTGGAGGTAGAGGGAATTTGGTAAATTGAAAATTTTGGTGAAAATTAGACACTTTGGGTAAATTTGGGAATTTTGGGGAATTTGGTAAATTTGGAGAATTTTGGGTGAATTGAGTTAAATTGAATGGTTAGGATTGGTTTTGGTGAAGTTTTGAGTGAAATTGGGGATTTGGACAATTTTTGGTATTTTTGGGAATTTTGGTAAATTGGAGAATTTTTGGTTATTTTGGAGAAATTTGGGTGATTTTGGATAATGTTGGATGGTTTTAGGTGGTGACCATGCAAGCAATGGAAAACCTTCCCAAAGTCATATAAGCCTTATGAGAATTCATCTTGAAGCCCCCACACATTGGTCTTAGTCATCCTAACCAAGGGTTAAGACTTAGGACCACCCACATGAGTTTTCAAAAGAGTTAAAGAGTGGTTGTGGGCCTCAAGGAGGAGATGGATTGATTTGGGTAAATTAATGGTTCTGGATTTGTTAGGGAACTTGTGGTGAGTTCAAGTGTGTGTGTGCAAGACTAAGCCACCCAGGGTTGCTCTAATGTCAATTGATTCGATGACAACTCATTCTTGAGTCTTCACATGTTGGTTTTAGCCATCTTAAGTGACAAATGAGGGTTTGTGACCACCCATGTGGGACTTCACAAGAAGAGTCTATGTGAGTGGGTTCCATCATCAATACTCCAAGATAGTCAACAAGAAAATCCTATGGCTAGATTTTAGGCTCTAAAAAAGAGAATTAGATCTCATTAAAAATGAGGCCAACAATTTCATCTAGTTGTCTAGAGAATATGGTCTATCATTTCATGTTTGACATAATCAGGCATTGTAGATCATATCTCAAGCATCTAATATTATTATTGAGAAAAAACACGCTTGCTCATAATTTATACGTTAATTTTATCATCGAAATTGTATACTTATATCCACATGACCTTGGAGTGTTTAAGCCATATTTTCAACACCTTGATGTCATCCTTAGCTTTCAGGTGTGCATATACCACATGAAGCACTAAGGTATTTTATACTCTTGTATTTCTATCATATAAATGAACTATATTTGCTTAGATAGTTTTTTCATATCATTAACATGTATGTATAGGTTATGAGGGTAGGCACCTTACAGCGGGACTCTTGTAGACTTAAGTTTTGACCCGTGGCTATGGTATATTTATCATCTTTAGATGTGGGTATACTTGTTGAACAATGAAAGTCAACATATTATAACCAAATTCTATATGATTGTGCTAAAAATGTGTAGCCTAGAATAAATCATTTTAAATATTTATATCATAGATAATGTCAACCCTTTTTGTTCTTTGAAAGTTTAATTTAAATTTATTAGAAAAAATTATCTATATATATTTTTCAAAAAATTATTTTAAAAATATTAGATTAAGTTGACATGTTAAAATTTAAATAGATCCAATTTAGTGGTCTTGTTAAAATTTTATGTGTAGATTCTTCAGTCAAATTACTCTGCACATACTAGGTGTTGTCATATGAACAATCACATATGTTTGTTTAGTATATAGGATGGTATAATTAGGATTTTTTTTTTTTTACATTAGGTTTACATACTATTTTTTGCAGGGATTTATATCCACATAGAAGGGGGCGTAAGTAAGTAAAATAATATGACCTTTTAATAGGCATTCTACTTACCTCTCATGCCAAACATAATTCATTATATGTTGTATTCTATTTTTTTATTTGTTAGCAGTAACATTTATTTGTAGGTTTCAGTTTGAATGTTTAAGAGTTTAGGTAAAGTTTGTACTGAAACTAAGATATAAGCATGAATCCCTATGGAGCATAAGAATTGAGACGATGTGGAGAGAACTCAAAGCTATTAACTCATGTCTCACACCTTATATATATGGTGATTCAATCTTTACCCTATGGCCCAATTTAGCCTCAAAATATGCAATAGCCCATACTAAAATGATAATAAAATTCTTTGATATGCTATATTATAATATGCTAGAATCCATGCATAGTTTCTTTAATAAAAAGTATTCATGGGTATCCCTCGATGTGATTAACCAAAAAAAACACATTTCCTTGGGAGCAATAAACTATCAATAAGAAAAATAAATTTGATTATATGGTTATATAGGGAGACTTTTCATAGGCTTTTTTGTGAGTTTGTTTGGGTTGAATTAGTCTAATTCTTCCCCATTTTCAACTAATCTTACAAATTTCTTTCTATGGAAATTCTCCTTATCTTTTTTATTTGTATCATATTAATTTATCTCTCTCTCTCTCTCTCTCTCTCTATGTTCTCTATTTTTTGTCCCCAACTTCATTTTCTTATTTTCTATATTAAGGAGAGGAGATTGAAAGAGACTTTAAATGAGATGATGCAGTGATCTTATAAATGATGAAGTCTTAGAAGGAGGGCTTATATGAATGAAAAAAATATTATGTCCATCGTCTGGACGTTAAATTACGTCTGGACTCCTATAGTAACTTGACATATGATCGGACTCCCCTTACCCCTAAAAAATTAGAAAGAAGAAATCAAAATTATGACTCGAACCTGGACTAAGAAATTATTACTCATTGTTTTTAATATTTACCATGCATGTCCAGACAGGAAAAATGGGTTGTAGGAGCTGGAATAAAAAATTAATTTTAGAACTCTGAAGAGAAATTTTGAAAATAAACAATTTTAGAAAGAAGCTTGAAGACGAAGAAGATCTGCGACGATGGATAGCAAACAGAATACCCGTGATATCTTAAATTTAAACATTGTAGTAATTACTCTTCAATTTGGAAAGCATTGCTGGAAATCACCCCAGAGCTATTATAATAATTTTCGATGGACAACTGAGTAAATGTTTTATGTTTTTTAAGTTGGTTGTGTTTGTTTGGGCAAAATTTTTATTTAATGCAAACTTATGAAAATATGTCAAGTCATTCATACTCGTCATTAAAAAAATCAGGTATTTATCTATTACATAAGCTTAACACATTTTGTATAATGTGTTAATATACCTTTATTCAGAAGATTTTACAACTTCTCTGATGTGTTAACTTGAAACAAAAGCTGAATAAACATTTTTTATTTTTTAGGTAAGTTCTTATAAGAAAAATTTTATCGTTGGCAATTATTGTTCAAGAAAGCACTTGTGCATTGCCTCATTTTTTAAGGTAAACTTAGAATTGACAATCATAAAACGAGTAAATCAGTGTTTATGTTTTTTTAGGTTACATTTCCTTGGACATGTTAACATTCTTCACAATCTTTGCACCTAATTATAGATGTGTATGATCAAACTCTGAAGAAAAATCTTATATTTGCTTGAACCGAAAGGTGAATTAGTATTTTATTATATTTAAGATTATATGTGATCTGTAAAATTTTATTTTTAGTCAATCTATGCTCAAAAAAGCACATGTGTATTGTATTAATAATGAAGTGAAAGTAAGAATGAATAAACTTTAAAAGTTGAAACCACCGCTATACGTTGTTCTGGCTTACGTTTCTTTTATAAATATTATGGTGTTTTTGTAATGGTTGAACTTATTTATAGATGTGTATAGCTGGAATTTTGAAAAAAAAATCTTAATCTACTAAAAAGGAATGGTGAAATCATTAATTTATGATATTTAAGGTTAAGTTTATTAAGTGAAATTTTGATTTTAGGCAAACCATGTTCAATTTTGCACTCGTGTATTGTCTCCCTTTTTATGAGAAACTTAGAATTAACAATCCTAAACAGGTTTACTAATAAGAGTTTGATGCTATTGCAGGTTACGTTTATTTAAAACTGTTATGATATATTTACAATATTTTGACTTACTTATATATCTGTAATCTCTTAATTATGTTTTGGGAAGATTTATTTAGTCATAAGGTAACTTAAATAGAAATGTAATCCATAGTTTTTGAAGAAAACCCTTGCATTTACTTAAGTCAGATGGTTGAGATAATTTTTTATTATGTTTAGTGTGGAGCTTTTAAGAATAATGATGAGTTTACTTTGCATGTAGTATTGAATATCATATGTGCAAAATATGCACATATGCCAGAATAATGTAAGTCATTTTCATGGTGAACATAATGCAGACAAACTACTTGCTATCATTGTTCGTAGTAAAATGAGGCTAATGATTTGTATTATAGTTGTGCATAGGACATAGGGTTTAGTGCGAGGAAGGATCACGTCAGTTATTGGCCAAATTTCAGAAATATAAAACAAAAAGTATTTTTGTGCGTTAAATCTGGTTTCAAAAGAGGGATCAAACATAATAGAACAGTTAAATTTCATAAATTAAATACAAGGTGTGGATGTTCAGCCATGATTAAATATAAAGTGGATCTTGGTGGCAATTAAAAGTTTAAAAAATTTATAGAAAGTTATAATCATTCTTTAGAAAAAGCTAGGTGATCAACACCTTTTGTGGTCCAGCCGGAGCATCATCAGTGAAGATAAAAGAGAAATTTTGTGGTCGATGACAGAAGTAGGAATTGGAGTTACCGATGCATTCAACAATCTTGCGATCAAAGTTGGTGACATAGAAAGAATTATTCTCTCCATTTCAAACATGGGGAGATTCTTGCCATTTGCCAACAAGTAGTTGAACTGCCACCTGACTGACCTCTCTGACCAAAGGCAGGAGAGCCTGAACTTCGTGTGGTTGGAATTGGGTCGCCACGACCACCTAAACCTGTTACTATGCCGATTGTTGAGTCCGTTGCCGTTATTTTAAAATAAACTTTCAAACATTACTTAAAAAAATTAAATAATTGATCTATTTGAAAAACTTTAAATGTTATAAGATTTATAAAATCAAAATTTAATTCAAGTGCAGGAAAAACCCAAAAAAAAAAATCTAAAGGTCATTAAAACCACTTTTATGAAGAAAACCTATCTAAACCCCGCCATCCCTGGTTTCTTCCAACAGAGCTCCGAGTGAGGAGCCCATCCTTCCACTTCCCCTCCGCTCCTCCGGCGCTCAATCTCGAATGTAACTGTAACACTACATCCCATAACTTTGTAATCCATGGAATCACTTCTTATCTCCAACTCGCTTTCGTCCCTGCAACTTTTACCCATTTTACATCCATCACCCCACTCCTTCGTCCTCCCCCCCGGCCGTCGGCGCCGCCTTCTCATTCACGCCGCAGCAGCAACGCCTCCTAGACCGTTACACTTTCCCCGTATTTCCCTCTTTTCCTCCCTTTTTCGTAGTCTCCAACCTCCTAAAACCCCAACCAACATTGGCATCTCTGTTCTCGAGGGCGCCTGCAAAACAGTTGTCCTTGCGATCTTTGTGGCAGCAGTATCACTCCTTTCTCTCCCAGCTGCTCGCCTTCTCCCTGCCATTGCTGCGACAACCGTGTCCGAGAAGGCCAAGAAGGATGAGACCACGACGGGCCACGAATTCTCCGGCTATACCCGAAGATTGTTATCCGTTGTTTCAGTCCTTTTGAGAAGAATGGAAGATGCGAAGTCTGGGAAGGGTGATATGGATGGTGTTAAGAAGGCTCTTAAGGAGGTTAAGACAAGTCGGAAAAAGATTCAGGATGAGGTGATTGGAAATTTGAATGCTGAACTGAAGGAGCTGAAGAGTGTCATTGGGGAATTGACTAAGAGGTCCGAGGAGGTGCTTGCTTTGGCAAGGGCGGCAATGAACGAGAGGGACATGCTATCGGAGAGCTTTGAAAATGAGCAGGAGATGAAGGGGAGAGCGGAGGAGTTGGAGAGGAAGATTGGTGATTTGGAGAAGGAATATAATGATCTGTTGGTGAAAGTTGAGGAGATTGAGGATAGGATGATGAGGAGGGAGACTTTGACATACAGCATAGCTGTTAGAGAGCTTTCTTTCATTGAGAAGGAGAGTGAGGTTTTGGTGCGGAGCTTTGGCCGTCGGATGATGGAGGTTGCACGCGTAAGGTATAATTACGATGCATTATTGTCTGTTCATTTTGTTGATTAAAAATCTTACATTGGTATCATATCGATACATAATATGGATCATATCCATACATGGCTTTGAGAAACTTGCATCTTTTTTTATGATTTGGATCTAACAGGCCATCTCATTACAAGATTATTCAACTAATTTTGGGTTCTCCTTAAAATGCTATTATGTCATGACAAAACATTTCAAAAACTCTTTTTTAAATTTTAAAAGGTGTTGTTGAACAATGTTGGTTGATTCTTGCATATTGATCCTCCGGTTTTAAATTGAAGCCTTCCTAAATGTATTTAAATTTTTTTTGGTTATTTTTTCAATTCAGTTCAGTTCAACGATAGTCACTTCTTAATCATTTTGTCAAATAAAAAATAGCACATACCATTGTTCAATCTGTCCAGCTGGCTGGATTTATTTCTTAAAATGAGTTTAGCACTTCTATTTTGTACTCTATTTTACTTTTTATGTTAATTACTTTGTTATTTCAGTCAACAGTGGAACCCTTCTATTCAGCTTTCTGGGAAGGACATTCAGAAAGACTTAGAAACAGCTCAAAAGGAATATTGGGAACAATTGCTACTCCCTAAGGTTTTGGAAGCTGAAGATCCTGAAATATTGGTAGATAGCAGCGCAAAAGGTTTTGCTCGAAACATTCAACAAGTCCTTAAGGAATCACAACAATTGCAAAGAAATCTGGAAGCTCAGATAAGGAAAGAGCTAAAAAAATATGGTGATGAAAAGCGTTTTCTCTTAAAAACACCAGAAACAGAAGTTCTAAAGGGCTTTCCTGAAGTTGAATTGAAGTGGATGTTTGGTACTAAGGATATTGTTGTCCCGAAATCTGTTCGTGTTCATTTGTATCATGGATGGAAGAAATGGCGCGATGAAGCCAAAGCTAACTTGAAAAAGCAGTTGCTTGAGAACATGGACGAAGGACAACAATACATAGCTCGAAGAAGGGTACACTTTATAATTTTTGTTTTTCCAAATTTGGATGGAAACCATTACTCATAGAAACTAAGAGTAGCAAGACTAACATGATATGAAAAAATAGGAAGATTTACATACATACCACTCAATTCCTATGTATTTACACACCTAACACCTAAACTTCAATTTTTACATATGTGCCACCTTCCATATGCAGGAAATGGTGTATTTCAATTTTTAAAACTTAAAATGGTGGTAATTTTTATGTGATATGAAAGGTTTAGGTGGTATAAATATAAAAATTCAAGTTAGGCATTTCATATGCAAATATATAAGAATTGAGTGGTATGTATGTAAATGGCTTATAAAAATATGTTGCTGCTTGCTACAATTTAGTTTGCTGACTACAACCTGTGTAATTTTGGAAACAGACGTCCAATGCTAAATTTAGGTCATCAAGAAAGTCTTTAAATGAATTTCTACCTGTTAATCCCATGGTACTTAAGTGCTTTATGCATGAGCCTTTTTTAATTTTGCCTTGTGGGTCTGCAACTTCTTGCAAGTCCATTTTACTATTTTTCTTATCTTCATTCTCTTAAAAATGTTTTGGTTTTGTATTTCACATTAATACAACTATTAATTCTGTTGAAAAACATCTTATTCTATGATTTGGTTTATAGGTGAAATTTACAATTTACAATTTTTTGTAATTTGCTGCACGGACATTGCAGGAACGAATTCTCTTAGACCGGGAGAGATTGGTAGCTAAAACATGGTACAATGATAAGAGAAAAAGGTGGGAAATGGATCCTGTGGCTGTTCCATATGCAGTTTCGAAGAAACTAATAGAAAATGCTCGTATTAGACACGACTGGGCTGTTATGTATATTTCACTTAAGGGAGATGATAAGGAATATTTTGTTGATATTAAGGTTGGTTTCATTCTTTGTTTTTTATTATAGATTTTTTCAATTTAATTTAATTCAAAATTGATATTTTTTAGTTGAAATTCTCTCCATTGTGGTTAGCTACCTATTTTTTGGAGTTTTGATGTCATGTAGGAGTTTGACCTACTTTTCGAGGACTTTGGCGGATTTGATGGTCTCTACACCAGGATGATTTCGTCGGGCATTCCAACGGCTGTTCACTTGATGTGGATTCCATTCTCGGATCTTGGTCTACGTGAACAGTTTTTCTTGATTAGGACAATGCTATCTCAAGCATTGACTGGATTCTGGAACTGTGCTTTTATATCTTTTGTGAAGAAACCAGTTTTCTCTGGAGTAAAAAATATCACTGATGATTTGATGGTTACATTAATTTTCCCCATTATGGAGTTCATCATTCCTAAGCCTGTACGAATCTCATGAAATTTGAATTATTTTGTTTCGTATCATCTAGTTGCTCATCATGAATGTGACTATACGTCAGCTTGTTGAATCTACTATATTTTCTAGGTGAGAATGATCTTAGGTTTGGCATGGCCGGAGGAAGTATATCATGCTGTTGAATCTACTTGGTTCTTGAAATGGCAGTCTGAGGCAGAATTGAATTACAGAGCTAGGAAGAGAGATAATTTCAACTGGTATTTTTGGTTTATAATTAGAAGCAGCTTATGTGGATATGTTTTATTTCATGTCATTAAGTTTCTTAAGAGAAAGTTGCCAAGCTTCCTTGGATATGGACCCTTGAGAAGAGACCCAAACTTGAGGAAATTGCAGAGATTGGTATGCAGTTTTTTGTTTAATATTTTTTTTTCCTATGCCTTTTAATCTCTTTAAGCTCGTTCATCTTTTCAATACAAAATTTGAAATTCTGAGCTTTTTGTAATTGCCCGAACTTTCATCTTGTATGATATTTAAGTGGTTTCATGATTTTGCCCTATTGGTACAATTTCTTAGGAGATCACTCATTTTAGTAGTGCTGTAGCATGAGCACATAAACCATCACACTAAAGGACTCCTTGATGTTTAAGAGTTCCCTTTGATTATGCTTTAGGGATCTCACCATAGACTTCTCTTTAAGGAATCAGTTTTCTCCTCAATGCCTTTTCATGTAGCCTAGAAATATCCATTGAGGATAAGGGATTTTGGAGGTTTTCCCCTTATATGTTTAAGAAGTGGCTTCTAGATTGTATAGATTCAAAAGGTGATTTATATGATGTGATGCTTTGTCCTGCATGACATTTGGTTCCCATCTTTTCATAGGTGGATTGATTTGATACAATTTCTGGACTTTCATGTATTGAGATATTGTTTGCGTAAACTTGATTAGTCTAATTGTTTTGTTTACTTTGCACAAATTCCATATAGGCCAACCATTCTAAGAGTGCTCTAGCTTGTGCATACTAAACTATGTTGTTCATGAAATAAATTCAACTATTACACCAAAAGCACCTTTATGTAGTTCACTATGCCTGAGGGTTTTCACACTTTTCTAGTATTTTCTCGATCCACCTTCATTGTTTGTACCGAGAGTTCACTATGCCTGAGGGTTTTCACACTTCTAGTATTTTCTCGATCCACCTTCATTGTTTGTATACTTAAGGAGTTAACTTGCAGCTATTTGTATTTTCTCTTTTTTTTAGTTGTTACATGCTTGGAAGATGAGTAAAATGCTAAGAATATTAAGGGGCTATCAAATTCAGTTTCATTTTGAATGTTGTGTTATTCAAAATGCTTGTTTTAAGAAATATCTCCATAGAAGAGAAAAAAATGGCATTACTTATCAAATAATATAGAATAATATTGATTAATCCAAAAAAATGTTTGGTTAATGCTGTATAAGATGTATAAATGTAATGATTTACATCTCGTTGACACTTAATGGATGTTCAAGAGTTGTGGGATATATTTTTAGCGAAATCTTAAAGATAGAGAATATTGAATGAGATAGTCTTTAATATCAATTATTAATAACATAGTGAATATTTAATTGTGGTGCTTGTATGGGAATACACATACGTCTTGCCAAGAAGTTCAAAAGCTAAGGACTATTTCATTGGAATTGAATAATTAATTTATGAGCAAGTATGAACTACAGAGGTTACATTTTTTGGCTAGGATAAATAAAAAAAAAAAAAAAAGATTGAGAAATGTGATGACGTTCATTTCCTTTTATTAAATTTAAAAGAGCATATTAATGAGTGTTATGATATTTGAGTTATTTGGCATTCAAGAGTAATGGTTCTTCGTAGATACATTAAAATTATTAAAAATGCCTTATGTGGGTAGTGATTTTCGTTAGACTTAAATGTGTGTGGATTAAGAGTCCCCTAATAAAATTACTAGATAACATAAAGGTTGAACATTATATATATATATTTTTTAGAAAATACTGAAAAATACATTAGAGACATAAAGAAAAAACAAAAAATTTAGAAATACATAGTATAAGATGGCTAGAGAGCAACCTAATTTGGTTTTGCCTCTGCCTCTGGTTCTAGGAAAGAAGCAAGCTAATAAGTTGGTAAGATGATTATCGTTGCCAGTAGTAACCAATGTATCATCCAATATGTTCCCGAGCTGGAGTCGGCCTCCATTCTTCTTCTTTCTCCTGGAATAGACCTGCCATTCCTCTTCCGAAGATTGACTCACTTGATCTTGGTCTGAAGTGTGCTGGGGATGTGCAGATTGTTGGACATTAGAAACAACTACATGTTGTTGTAGCCGATCTGTTACTGAATCAAAGGAGCACTCTCGTGTGTTTTGGCATGTGAGTGAGTCTTTAATAACAATGGGTGGTATGAGCACAACTGGATTTTTAGCTGTAGTATGTTGTTCTTCCTCAGGAACTGCAGTGTTGGGAGGAGGATCGGTTGCATCTTCTCAATAGGGATAGTAGGTGGTTGTTTTTCAGCAATATTCGAGGATGCAAACGACAGACAGAGGAAGTTCTAAGTCTAAATTCGACCAAATAATAGGTGGCTGATTGCCATTGCCTTAGATGAGGATGCAAACGATAGCAAATACTAGAGCTGTGACCAAACATACTACAATGAGAGCAATAAGGAAGATGTGGTTCAATTTCAACTTTTTGCCAATACCCGTTGTGCATAGTGCCAATCCATATCTCATTCGGAGCTGATTGAGTGATATCTCTCAACTAACACACAAGCCACAGAGGGTTTAGTGACAGCAAGCGTAGGACACGTTCATTTCCTTTTATTAAATTTAAAAGAGCATATTAATGAGTGTTATAATATTTGAGTTATTTGGCATTCAAGAGTAATGGTTCTTCGTAGATACATTAAAATTATTAAAAATGCCTTATGTGGGTAGTGATTTTCGTTAGACTTAAATGTGTGTGGATTAAGAGTCCCCTAATAAAATTACTAGATAACATAAAGGTTGAACATTATATATATATATTTTTTAGAAAATACTGAAAAATACATTAGAGACATAAAGAAAAAACAAAAAATTTAGAAATACATAGTATAAGATGGCTAGAGAGCAACCTAATTTGGTTTTGCCTCTGCCTCTGGTTCTAGGAAAGAAGCAAGCTAATAAGTTGGTAAGATGATTATCGTTGCCAGTAGTAACCAATGTATCATCCAATATGTTCCCGAGCTGGAGTCGGCCTCCATTCTTCTTCTTTCTCCTGGAATAGACCTGCCATTCCTCTTCCGAAGATTGACTCACTTGATCTTGGTCTGAAGTGTGCTGGGGATGTGCAGATTGTTGGACATTAGAAACAACTACATGTTGTATCGGCTGATCTGTTACTGAATCAAAGGAGCACTCTCGTGTGTTTTGGCATGTGAGTGAGTCTTTAATAACAATGGGTGGTATGAGCACAACTGGATTTTTAGCTGTAGTTTGTTGTTCTTCCTCAGGAACTGCAGTGTTGGGAGGAGGATTGAGTTGCATCTTCTCAATAGGGATAGTAGGTGGCTGTTTTTTAGCAATATTCGAGGATGCAAACGATAGATAGAGGAAGTTCTAAGTCTAAATTCGACCAAATAATACGGTTGCATCTTCTCAATAGGGATAGTAGGTGGTTGTTTTTCAGCAATATTCGAGGATGCAAACGACAGACAGAGGAAGTTCTAAGTCTAAATTCGACCAAATAATAGGTGGCTGATTGCCATTGCCTTAGATGAGGATGCAAACGATAGCAAATACTAGAGCTGTGACCAAACATACTACAATGAGAGCAATAAGGAAGATGTGGTTCAATTTCAACTTTTTGCCAATACCCGTTGTGCATAGTGCCAATCCATATCTCATTCGGAGCTGATTGAGTGATATCTCTCAACTAACACACAAGCCACAGAGGGTTTAGTGACAGCAAGCGTAGGACTATCCATCTTGAGAGACTTACCGTAAGCAGATGCTAAAGAGTAGAAGATTTCCATGTTGAATAGATGTAATTTTAACCTTGAAAACTTTATCCAAACATGAATGATAGGAGACTCCGCTTTTGGATCAAAACCGACAGTCCACTTCAGAATTTTCATAAAATGATTGTCAATCTTGATGGCTTTTCTAGAGAAAATGCGAGTGTAATCGGCATCATGAGATAACTAAATAAGTATATGTCGACCGTCAAGTAAGCCAATATTTCAACTGCCCAATAGATTCATTTGATGATTTCATAGTATCGAACTCCTTCCTAATGATCTCCAGTTTTGGGTGACCATAAAAGAATTTTCCCACTAGAGAGAAACGCAAAGAGGACGCGAGAGTACCGATTTGAACCTCCGTGAGAATAAGTGCAGGTTTCTCATTTTTTTTCCAAGCTTTTTAATAAAAGTGTGATCACCTCCACCTTCAAGAGCCTCATGGAAAGTTTTTGGAATATTGCAGGACTTATCGATAGCAAAATCAGACGCTGAACCTGGAGAAGGGCCACGAGTAGGAAAGTCGCCAGCAAGAGCATTTGCATAGGAAACGGAGCGTCGAGGCCATCTCCCTCACAAAACAAGAGAGAAATAGTCTGGCGGGCAGGAAGAGCAGACAGGCCAACAGGAAACCTTCTGCCGAGCAGGAATCGAGCAAAAGGCGCGCCCTTCTGTGAACAGGAAACCACAGACAAAACCGCAACTCAAAATCGAAAAGGGAAACAGCGCCGAAACCCTTTGTCGAAGACGATGAATGCCTTTGTCGTCATCGTCGAGTGCGGGAAGTACGAACCGCAGCTCGAAACCGGAACGAAAAGGGACAGCGCCGAAACCCTTCGTCTAAGACGACGAAACGCAGAGACTCGTTGTCGTCGTCGAGTGCGGGAAGTTCGTCGTCGAGCACCAGAGAAAATATTTACGACCGAAGGAATCAAACCAGGGTTTCGTCATCGGGCAAAACCCTAGCAGCACCATCGGGCGAAGGTTGAACATTATATATATATATATATATATATATATAGAAAAATACATTACTATGATTCTTATACAACATTTTTATGTATTCTATTTATAGATACTATTAATTTAGTAGCTAAATTAAGAGATTTGATTAATGATGAAAGATTTTATTAGATATGACCTTATAGTTGCTAAAATAAAGATGGGTGTTTGCTATGCAGTTCAATGGATTTTGAAGTTAGTCTTAGCAAAGAATAAAAAAGAAGGATAAATTAGGATTTCCATTTGGGCCATCCTGCCTCGACTTTGATTCTTAAAATCTCAATTAATAATTACATCCTTCTAATTAAAGGGTTGGTGATGTTTGAAGGGACTTGTTCGATATCAATTTTTAAGAAGTGTGCAAAATGAAAAAAATATTAC